ATTTTTGGTGGTTTCAAGGAAGAAGAAGAAGAGGAGGAGGAGGAGGAGGAGGAGGAGGACGGGGACGGACCAGGGAGGAACAAGGGATGTACTATACCACTTGGTAGCACTTAGTAAATATAGAAACCGAATAAAGCCGAGTAATTTTGATTAATTTCTCTCCAAAAATGAGAAATTATTATAATCTATTTTTCTTTTCTTAATAAATGTTGAAAGGAGGACTTGGTTTACTTGTGGAATTGATCTTAAACAAGCGTTTGGCAATGGTGTCGATAATTTATGACTATGTCTTTTGTAAAAATCACCAAAGTCACCAAAACGTTCACCTTCTTTTGTTTCCCGTTTGTTCACCTTATTTTGTTTCACCTTTGTTCACCCTCTTTTGTTTCCCGTTTGTTCACCCTCTTTTGTTTCTCCTTTGTTCACCTATTTTTCAACTTTTGTCTATATTCTGCAGTGTTCTCTTTCTGGCCAATATAATAATTTTCTACTTTTTTTTCTGGTCCATTAAAAAGAACTTTAAAAAGTTTCAAAAAGGGATAAATCACCAAATAGCCGAACTTGAAAAACTAATAAAAACGAATAGATTTTGTAAGATTGGAAAACTGTAACTAATCGTGGTGGAGAGTAGAGATTAGGCTCACTGGAAGTTTGGAAATTAAAGGGAAATTCTTGATTTTTTATTCAAATGGGAGTTGGTGCCCACTCTGAATAACCAAAGTAGAGAAAGCAAACTTGAAGCAAACTAGAAGCAAGCTAGAGGAAAACTAGAAGCAAGCTAGAGGAAAACTAGAGGCAAACTAGAAGCAGAAGCAGGTAAAGCGGCAGGGTAAAGCAATGTAAGAGTAAGCAGCGTTTGTAACACCCTTGTTCTACATATACCCTTCCTTTTTTTTTTTCATTTCTCAACTCTAATCCTCTATTCATTCTTTATGGTTTCCATTCTTTTACCAACAAGCGAGAGTTAATACCCACTTTAATTGGTAAAAAAAAACTCTCACATACAACTAGTTTGTTATTTCCTTCTACATTTGTTTTTGTTTTCTCTGTAAGTTAACGTGTCTTCAACAATGTTCTGTTTGAATTGCATTTTCTAGACCTTTTCCCAAGGCCCTCTCCTTACTTTTTTTTTTTTTTTTTCCAATACTTGGTGAATAAATTTGTTTTTTTCTTTCACCAGTTGGAAAAGTAACCTTCACTCAATTCCATCTTGTTGACGTATATATCCTACCCCTAATGAAGCATATAACTGAAGAATTCTCTATAGGCGATTCTGATTATACAGCAATAATAACTTATGACAACAGCGTGCATGAAAAGGCACCAATAACAATCTATATAATAAACCAACAAGATGGAAATAACCCTATTATGGGTGACTACATATACACAATAGAAAACTCTTCAACGTATTTAAATAAGGCATCTGATGGAGTAGATCAATTGAAATCATTAAATCAACATTTAGTTGAAAAATTGAAAGTTCCCATATATTTGTCAGTTAGTACCAGCACATCTTTTTCAAATGTTGAGATGTTTCAACAAATAATGAGAATAATTGAGTCATCAAGGCGATGAAAATTGTCTGAAAATATCCATGTACAAAGAAGCAAGTTCATGCAACGAACCAAAAAAACAACAACAACAACAACATAAGTTAGCAAGAAAGGGAACACTATAAGATCAGATATTCTTTTTTGTCCTTCATATACTTTCCTAAAAAAAAAAACCAAATGGGACCTACCACACTCTCTATTATTATCATGAACCAAATGGTACCTAGCATTAAACCACTACCGACTGATAACTTCCACACTCTCTAAAATGAGAGGCCAACACACCAATGCGGCTCAAAAAACCAAAAAAAAAGAAGCAAAAGTATCCCTGATCACGTGTAGATACATATATATCCCTACAGTTGATGCTCTTCTATAAGAAAATAAGTCATAAATTACTACTAATCAACTTTTTAGAATATGTACCTTCTCTCCTTCCTCTTTTACTATTTCTCATGGGTCATATGGACCAAAGTACTCCAACTTAACCTCAGTACCCTTCTTACCCAAATACTCCTTGATAAACTTCATGTATCCTCTTGGTCCTAATAAATAAACATCTTCTCCATTTTCAGTATACTTATCTAAATCACCAGTTTGAACAGCTCTTTCATATACTTGAGCACCTTCAATACTATGTTTCCCACTGTATGCCCCGTCGAAAAATTCAATAATTTCTAATTTACCTGGGTTTTGCTTACTCAAATCTGACAAGAAAGGACCAAAAGCTCTTGAGTCATCAGTTCTATTTGAATAAAGCAAAGTAATTTTTTCACATCCATTTGATAAAGCAGCTTGCATGATCGAAATAAGTGGAGTAATACCAATACCACCACATAACAAAGTCAACTTTTTAGCTCCTTCGGCATCGTAAATGAAATTACCATTTGGTGGAGCAACACGTAAGATATCACCAACTTTCAACTGTTCGTGTATATAGGTAGATACAACTCCGCCAGGTAATTTACGTACTGAAATACGATACTCATTATTTCTAGGGGGTTGAGATATGGAGTATTCTCTAGATTTTTCAAACTTGGCTCCTGGTGTCATCCATCTAATACAAACATATTGACCTGGTTTAACTGGTGCAATTTCGCCTCCATCTACAGGGGTGAAATAAACAGATTTGACTTCTGGACACTCCTCGATCATCCTGGTAACCTTAAACTCCTTAAAATTATTCCATGGTTCTTTTTTAAACTCATTGGCCTCCAAGTCAATTAAAATGGCAGCCAAATTTCCATAAGCAATGCTCCAGGCCTCAATAAACTCTTGAGTGGCAATTTCAGCCGGCAATATCTCCTTCATAGTTTCAATTAAACAGGATCCAACAATTGGATAATGTTCAGCTTTAACCTGTAAACCAACGTGTTTCGAAACAATCTGTGCAACAAATCCCAACAACGGAGTCAAATCTTCAATATTCCTTGCATAATTTAATAAGGAGTATGCAAGTATCCTTGGCTGTCTCAATAATTTTTGATCAGTCTCGTTGAAAAATGGTTTGACTTCATCGTACCCACCAAGCATTCGTTTATAGAATTTAGCAGTTAATGTCTCGCCTGCTTGTTCCAAGATAGGAACAGTTTCCTTGATCAATTTGATCTGGTTTGGGGTCAATTCCTTTTGTTGGTATAATTGGGTCATTTTGAAAATATGGTTATAGTTACAAGTTACGTTTATGAAACATACAAAACTGTTTCTGAGGGTATAGTTTTGAGTGAATCTGTAACCTATTTATAGATAGAAATAACCATTTTAGTTTCTCGGGGGGGGGGGGGGGTTAGGAAGGTAAGTCAATAAAAGGTGTGTTTCTTTAAGAGTGAAAAATCTCTCCTGGCGGTTTTTTCGTTTGTTGGTGTGCGGTGCTACCAGTTGCTAGGTCGAGAGGTCGCCGTAGGGAGTCGCCCATGGGTCGTCCTGTGGCCCTGTAGAAGCAATACCAGCGGACAATAACTCTGAGTTATTGGAGTAGATATATAGAGAGACTAGACATGTGAGACTAGACGAGTGAGACTAGACGAGTGAGACTAGACGAGTGAGACTAGACGAGTGAAACGAGTCTAGTCAAAAGAAAAGAGAGCAGTAGATAGAGAAAGAGAGCAGTAGATAGAGAGAGTGTAGATAGAGTGTAGATAGAGTGTAGATAGAAAGAGAGTACAGATATATACTATCGCGCTTTGCTCGATAGTGTAGAAGTAGATGTTATTGGTAGTGATTATTAGAGTACTATCAAGTTTGAGTCAAATTGATGCAAAAAAGAGACTAGATGAACAAAGTGAATCCAGTAGATGAAAAGCAGTAGATGGATAATGCCGATAGAGTGTAGATAGAAACTAATCGAAAGAGAGAGACCAGTCTATAGAGTGTAGATAGAAAGAGTGATATATACTATCAAGCTGTGCTCGATAGTCAATAGAGAGAAGAGAGAGTAGATATAGAGGGAGTAGATAGAAAAGAGTAGATAGAAAAGAGTAGAAAGAAACTAGTTAAAAGAGAAAGAGACTAGTCGATAGAGTGTAGAGAGAGAGTTATATATATATATATATATAGAAAGAGAGAGTTTCATATAGAGAGAGTTGTATATATAGAGAGTGATATATATATACTATCGAGCTGCGCTCGTGGTATAGTGAGAAAGTAGAGTAGTGTTGTTTTCTCGTTTTACTGGATGGTCCATAGAAAGAAGAGAGAGAGAGACTAGACGAGAGAAACAAGTCTAGTCGATAGAGTGTAGAGAGAGGGTGTAGAGAGAGTGTGTAGAGAGAGTGTGTAGAGAGAGTGTGTATAGAGAAACTAATTTATAGAGTGTAGATAGAGAGAGTAGTATACAGACAAATACTCTATAGAGAGAGTAGTAGATCAATAGTCTATAGAGAGTAGAGTAGTGTTGTGTGCACGCCTTGCTGGAAAATATATATAGAGAAGGGAGAGAGTAGATATAGAGAAGGGAGAGAGTAGATATAGAGAAGGGAGAGAGTAGATATAGAGAAGGGAGAGAGTAGATATAGAGAAGGGAGAGAGTAGATATAGAGAAGGGAGAGAGTAGATGAGTGAAACGAGTCTAGTGGAAAGAGTGTAGATAGATAGACAGGGTACAGATATGCTATCTTACTGGAAGTAAAACGCTTTACTCTATGCTCTAGCTCCGTATCAGCTAGTCTTGTAGAGATATAAAACCAAGCGCTTTACTCTCTGCTTTAGTTGTGAACGTTATTCTACAGCACTACTCTATAGAGATAAACTCTTACTCTCTGCTTCAGCTGTCCATACCAACTAGTCTACTACTAGAGATACAAAGGCAAATTGTTTATAAAAAATTTGGGCTTTTTTTTGCTAGTTACTCTTGACTATCGAATAGGTTGTTAATGCAGGAGCATATACACTAATAAAGTATCCACATATAAGCATATAAAGTATCCACATATAAGCATATAAAGTATCCACATATAAGCATATAAAGTATCCACATATAAGCATATAAAGTATCCACATATAAGCATATAAAGTATCCACATATAAGCATATAAAGTATCTACGCTTCTAAAGTATCTACGCTTCTCAAGTGTCTACGCTTCTAAAGTATCCATCTAGTACCCCATTTACATCTACTTGCTTATTGCATTCTTTACTTGTGTTCTTTGTAAAAAAATCTCAACTGTTAACATCTGTTTATAATCATTTTCGACAGTTTCAAAACAACTAGAGATTCTACTGATATACCTCTATATATTATAGCCTCGATAATTGCTTAACATGAAATACATATTGATGTTAAACCAATCACTTACCGACGTCTGGTGGATCACAAAGCAATATTGCACCGTTTTATTGTACAACTGTTTAATCGATTTGACCTTGCCATTGCATTCTCGTAGCATTTTCCTAGTACTCAACGTAACATCTTCGTAGCACCTTGGAAACATTCGACGTACCATCTTGGTAGCATTCGACGTGGCAATTTTTTTTCTGGCTCGAAAAAAATTGCTCTGCTATCGCCCGAAAGATTACGTAATCGACTTCTAATCGAAAAAAAGAAATAATTTTCATAACAGATATGACAAGATAACTATTAATAGTTGAGATATAGGATAGATTGGTTTGCAATTGCACCCCCCAGATTGGTTCGAATTGCACCCGGATTGGTTTTGATAATGTCAGAAAAAGAGCCTTTACTAGAAAAGGCCAACTTTGGTAGCTTGAGTAACTTGAATAATGAAAATGAACCAAGATTTAAATGTCCAGCATTGTTAAAATCATTTCTGTTTAACCCCTTATTGAATTGTTTACCACAACTCAGCAAGCATGGTGAGGATGAACAAGAGGAATTTGAGTATATTGAATACTCCGATGATGATATGGTATTGCCCGATTTGCCCTACGTGGAGAATCCCGTTATACTACCTAATTCAAGGCTAACTCAAAAGGAAAAATTATTTGAGTTAAGAAAGCTAATGAGAGAATATGGCATCGGGGTTTACATCATCCCTTCTGAAGATGAGCACCAGTCAGAGTATACCTCATTGTCCGATAAGAGAAGAGAATTCATATCTGGTTTCACAGGAAGCGCCGGCGTTGCTATTGTCACCCTCACCAATTCTGACACTTTACAAGGCCAAGCCTTTTTATCAACAGATGGTCGTTATTTTCTTCAAGCTGAAAGGCAGTTGGACTCAAAGTTGTGGAAACTAATCAAGCAAGGATCCAAAAATGAAAAGCCCTGGACAGAACAAGCAATCGAATGCGCGGTGAAAAATCCATTCAGCAAAACTATCTCTTGTGATTCAAGAACAATAAATCTCGTTATTGGACAATTCTTCCAAATCAAACAACATTGTGCCGATTTCCGGTTCCTTCCTTCATCACAAATCAATCTAGTTGATGTGGTTTGGGGGGATGAAAAGCCAAAAAGATCATTGGATCCAATTTACCATCTTGCTTTGAAATACAGCGGCGAGCATACTAATGATAAATTGGAAAGAATTAGAAAAATTATGAAGGAAAAAAGTGCAATGTACTATATAATCATTGAGTTGGATAGCATTGCTTGGCTATTTAATTTGAGATGTGACGGCGATATCCCTTTCTCACCTGTATTTTTCTCATATGCAATAGTAACTTTATCCTCAGTAAAGTTGTATGTCGAAAAAGCTAAGATTGCAAAGGAGGACAAAGTTTTGGAAAATTATTTATCAACTATTAAAGGATTGACAATAGAGAGTTACATGGAGTTTTATAAGGACGTTTCAAGGTTGAAACCAACAACAAGAACAATGGCGATGCACTCTGAGTCAAACTCAAAGAAGATGATAATGTTGCCAGCAAAATCATCCACTGTTTATGCCTTGTATGACATAGTCGCAAACTCATTTAGTCAGTCACAGATTCTACATGAGTCAGTAATAGCTAATATGAAAATATTCAAAAACAAGACGGAGTCGTTTAATGCAAAAATAGCTCAGTACAAGGATTCGCTCGTTTTTATACTATTTGGCTCATGGCTTGAGCACCAGCTTGTTAGAAAAAATGCAAAAATTTCCGAGTATGATGCCGCATGTAAGATGTATAGTCTCCGAAAAGATATGCCCAATTTCAAAGGGTTGAGCTATGAGACAATTTCGCTGACAGGAGCAAACGCCGCTATTATCCATTATACTCCAACAAAGGAGAATAATCAAATTATTGACCCAAACAAAATCTACCTACTCGACTCAGGTGGACACTATTTAGAGGGAACTACGGATATAACTCGTACTTATATGTTTGGGTCTCAAAATCTTGTATCCCAAGATTATAGGAAATACTACACTTTGGTTTTGAAAGGACATTTGGGAATTTCAATGGCCAAATTTCCCCAGCATTCTACAAACACGGGAACTCTTCTAGATGCATATTCTCGACAGCCATTATGGAACCACGGTTTAGATTTCAATCATGGTGTAGGGCATGGAGTGGGAAGTTTTGGTCTCGTACATGAAGGGCCGCTTTATATTTCACCTACTACAGTTGGCGGTTCAAGCCAACTCGATTTGTTCCAGCCTGGAGCCATTGTCACGGATGAGCCAGGCTTTTACATTAATAACGAAGTTGGATTTCGGGTGGAGAGTGAACTAGAAGTGACAGAACAAGATAGTTCTTTTGGCAAGAGTAAGGATGGACGTAATTTTTTGGGATTTGATTATTTGACAAAAGTACCGTTTTGTAACAAGTTGATCGATACAAAATATTTGACTCCGATTGAGGTTCAGTGGATAAATGAATATCACAGAGATATCCGAAATGAATTTGCTCAAAAACTTCTTGATTTGAACAACAAACGAGCTTTCAACTGGTTGATTAAAGAGACAGCGCCAATACATTAGATCTTTGTCTTTTCTTTCTTTTTTTTTTTTAATTTTTTTTTTTTAATTTTTACATCTTCCAATCTATACAAAATTGTCAACAGTTTCAAGTAGAAAAGAGTTTTGGGAATCCAAAGCTTGAAGAGTTGTTTCGCTCATGTTGAGGTCTTCTAAATGCTTTGGGCTTTAAAAATGTTCCCGGCTCCTTTTTCATTCGCAATATATCTGGTTCAAGATTGGATGTCACTTTGTGAGAAATAAAAGGTGAAGTACGCGGAAGCTGTAAACTTGGCCTAGAGCAAGTCACATCTTTGATACTTGATGTATCCATTTTTTTGGGGGGTTTCCACCCTTGCAGGGCAGTGATTAATTGTACGTCATTATTAACTTTGACGCGTTTTGAATTGTTAACAATCTCAGACAAGTGCCGTTTTGTATCATTGACCGGCAACGATTCGGAAAGGCGTTTTTCCTTAAAAGAACTGAACCTGATATGTAGCCGCTCCAAAACACTTTTGACTACTATCTCAATCGCCTCCAGCACTTTTGTCTGGCTAACTTCCAACAGATTGTTATCACAATAAGTCAAGGATATAGAAGCTACCATAGCTGCAGTTGAAATTATTTGGGCTGAAGTTTTATTACCGCCTGAGTCAAAGTATAAAAAGTTGAAAATGTCATATATCGGCTTTAAAAGATTTTCATCTTGAACTATTTTAAGCACGGTTTTATCCTTGTCACCAGTGGCAGTCGAGTTGCTGTTATCAAGCTTATTGTCTACCTCACTCTCTGGCCTCTCTTCATCGCAGTTTGGTTTTAACAGGCGCTTGGCTTTGCGCTTTACTATTTCATTTTCAATCCAAGCCTGTTTTTCGCTCGTTTCATCAATGCCAAACTTTTTATTTGCTGTTTTTAAAACCCTCATTTTCAATTCGTTATCTTTGTTTCTCTCAAAATTCTCCTCTCTCCACCGCTTCTTTCGTTCTCTATTTCCAAGTCTTGTTCTTTTCCGCGACTCGGGTGAATTATTCCGAAATTTATCGATGACGGAGATGAGATCAGACGTACATGTGGCCGAGGGTGCGAAAGCAACAATTGCATTTAACGTTGAGTTGCACACAGTAGACAAGTATTCTGCTCTTTCCTCCACCAAATTCTCTACTTCTGGTAAGAGAGCATTATCAAATTGATTCAAAAAGTTTTGCAAAACAAACTCCGCCTTATTTTGACTAGGCTCACCCTCCAGATACTTCCTCAAAAAAGTCAAAGCCAACTGGATTGAAGAAAATAAGTTTTTGCGCTCGGCTGTATTATATCCAGTCTCAAAATGGTCAATAGTCAATGGCTTTTTGAAGATTTGCGATAGAAAACCACCAGCAGCAATTTCCTCCGTTATTTGTCGGATAGCAGGGAGAATTTGGGAATCTGCCAACTCACCACTATTTATTTTGGAGGTCAACGAGTTCATTACTAAGGATATTTGTGATTTTATATCGGAGTTTGAAAATATCGATTTCCTAGTTGTTGCTCTTGCTGTTGTAGTTATCGTAGATGTTGTTGTAGTTGCAGTAGATGTTGTTGTTGCTGCAGTTGTTGTTGCTGCAGTTGCTGTTGCCGTTGTTGCTGCAGTTGTTGTTGCTGTTGATGGTGATGTTGGTGTTTTTGTTTTTATTGGGGACATTGCTTTTCGAGAGTCATAATAGACAGTAGGCCTCAGTGTCGTTTGAATTGGAACCAGAGTTGAGTTTCCTTGTAAATTATTTTCAGAAGCTGGTGCTTCTAGATGAAGTGGTTCCGGTACCAGTGTCAGTGTCAGTGTCAGTGTCAGCGCCAGCGTGTTTGACTCAGATATTTTCGTTGACAGTTTATTGTCAATCTTTTCATTTATCGGAGAATCTTTCTTTGTGATATTAGTTTGGTCAGTACCGCCAAGTTCAAGGTGTGACTCCATCATAGTGTCACCAATCTCCAATTCTGAAAGAAGCTCGTTCGAGTTTTCTGCTGCCATTTTTAGAGCCTCTCTTAAAATGTCATTCATTTGTAACAGCTCCAAATCAATCGAGCCTTGACTTTGCAGTGAAGAGGATACTCCCTTTGGTTCAATATCTGTTGTACTCTTTTCAAGGATTGCTTTCTCCGCATTCTTCCAATTTGCATTTTCGTGTATTTCATGTTCTCGTTGCACTTTTGTAGCTTGCTGAACAGCTGCCGTTTTGGAGGTGGTGTCGAAATGTTTTGAAGAGTTTCCTAAATTTTTAGATATCTCATTGACTGAGTTATTAGTAATTATCTTGTTATTGTCTTTTTGGTTAGGATGTTGTTGTTGTATCAGAGTCGAGTATAAATTAGATGATTTTTCTGCATTTTCTGCGGCATGCATTGCAGCTTTGAATGCATTTGAAATTGCATAATCAATATCTTCGCTGTCAGTGGGATTACTTTTCGACGTTAGTAATACCTGTTTCAAAGATTGTGCAATTACTTCACTTAAATCTTGATCATTGAACTTATTCTCTAATTGGCCAGTAAGAGTAAGCTGCAGGTTGACTTTGTCATTTTTATCAAAGGCTGTAATTGCATCCTTTTTATTATCACTCTCGCGGAGATTTTGGGCCTTCGAGAATGAATCACCGTTGATATTGGACTGAGATTGCAACAGCATAATTTGTGTAAATGCGTCTCCTATGGCTGCATCGAGATCCATATCAATACCTTCTATGCTGTCGGTATCATTGTTGGTGTTTGATTCGGCAGCATCATCGGAAATTGCCAGTCTCAGAATGGTTTGTGTATCAGAAGCTATATGTGTTGGAGTAAATGGGTTGGTTTCTTGCCGAGAGATACTTCTCCCACCATCATCATCGCCACCCTTTCCGAAAACTTGGTTCAAAGCAGAGCCAATCGCATCCTCCAAACTATCATCTAAACTATCCTCCATATCGGGTTCCTGATAGCCACCAGCGTGCTTGCTTGGAGATGTTGCTTCGTGCAAAGTTAGCTGAGAATCAGTTTTGGTAGACTGTAAAGTGCTCTTCTCACCCCTTGCTTCTGTGCTTTCATCAATATCATGAGACTTTTTTTGCGGCAGACCAGCATGTGCTTGGAAAAACCCACTTAAGGCATCTCCAATAGCATTGTTTAGTTCGTCATCAATATCGTTTGAGCCAGCACTTGGAGAGCTTTGCGAATGAGATTCTTTTTTCTGGGGGGGCTCCTCACCTTGTGTAGGGGGAGTGTTGTTCTCACCTTGTGTAGGGGGAGTGTTGTTCCCACCTTGTGTAGGGGGATTGTTGTTCTCACCTTGTGTAGGGGGGGTGTTGTTCCCACCTCTTGTAGGGGGAGTGTTGTTCCCATCTTGTGTAGGGGGGGTATTGTTCTCACCTCTTGTAGCAGTGTTGTTCCCACCTCTTGCAGGGAGAGTGTTGTTATCACCTCTTGTAGCAATATTGTTCTCACCTCTTGTAGCAGTGTTGTTATCACTTGTTAAATAAATAGTTTGTTCATTTCCAACCTTGCTTTCCTGCATGTCCGTCTTTTCACCACCACCAAATATCCCTTCTAGCGCACTAGTAATAGCACCCTCAAGATCTAGCTCAATTTCATCAGAGACCTTTTCCCCATCACCACAACAAGTGCCCTCTGTCATTGGCACTTTGAAATTGTAATATCCTAGTGAAAAATGGCCAATAACAATAATAACAAGGTGCAATTTTTTGCCCTAAATTATCGAGCAAAAACTTAGAGCTGTATCAAACAAACCTACCAACAGTTTAAAGCGCAATTTCTCCCTCTAATGCTCTTTACTTGTACCGTTATTGTTTGAAAACTGGATAACTTTTCAGATAATATCAACATGGTAGCGTTTTGGACCAGAGATGAGTTGATGAGTTGATGAGTTGATGAGCTGATTTTCCTTTTTTGGACCAAAGAATGCGGCTCAATTCATTCTCTACTACAAGCCCCCCCCCCC